CATATGTATGAAAGTAGAAATGGAATATTATTGACGATAACATGCATGATTAAGCCACTATGCAGCCTATTCTAGATGGGAAACTACATTTGGTATGTTGTGATGATGCTCAGGGAATGAAGGTTAAGTAATTAAAAAAAATAGTTGCAGGAGGAAAAAAAAAACCAGTAAAACTGTTCGTATCAAAATAAAAAAAAAATGCATATATGATGACTGCAGTAAGCTACATAGACCCAGCTGGGTACTACTTTATAATATGTTCATTCTACTCACTGAGGTTTATGCATAAAGTCAGACTTGGGTTCATGTATAGGTATACATCAGCTGTGCTAGCTATTTGATATATTTAGACTAATTAAGTTCATTAGCAAATCAATTAAATGGGGGGAGGAAGGCATAGAAAGCGACCATGGATACCAGAGACAATGTGGGAGGAGGGTGGGACATGGCAGAGGGTGAGGGATAGGGAATCAAGGATGGCAAAACAAAAAACAAAGTATATAAGACATAGGAATTGGAAAATTATTTGCTGATAACATGTATGTTGATGTACTTGATTGAGCCAATACACAGTGTATTTTGGATGGAAAATTCATTTGTATGCTGTAATGATGTATAGTGAATTAATGTAAAAAATAAATAAATTTAAAGAGAAAAAAATATGACGCATCAGTGACAGTTTAGAAAATAAACTGTTATCTATAACTTTTAATAATTAAATGTAAAATACTGTCTTAAAATATCTTTTTTCACATTTTCTCTGATTTATATCTAATAATAGTTTCCTATACTTGATGGTCTTGGTATACATTTTATTGAAAAGTTATATTTATGGCATACTGTCATGACTGATTCTATTTCACAGCATCCGCTGGAGGAAATTTATAACCACAGTCGCTCCAGGAAGCTCATTGATTATCCAGTCTCAGATAAAATTGGTGCCAGAATTTGGTTTGAACTAATGTGGTAAGTAGCAATCTCCTTGTAATAACTTTCCCCACAAATTCTAAATTTCATTTTTCACTTTTCCTTATAACAAATTATTCCAAATTATGACATATTATCTGATCCAGAATGAAGGAATTATAATTGTTTATTGTAGTCCAGGCAGGTTTGTTATAGACGAATATTGAGTGTTTGACATAACCCCTCTGAGTCATCGGTATGTATCTTTTGAGATGAGAGATGTGTTTTTAAATTCTTATTACTAGGATCAGTGTTCTAGTATAATACATGAATTGGTGTCCAAGTTAATAACTGATTTATCTGTTTAAATATATGGAATATAGCCAAATAAAAAGCTGGCATGTATGAGCCTTGTAAAATTTGGAAATGAGCTCCTTTAAGAACACCCAAATTTTTTTTCCAAAAGCTCTAAGGCTTCTGCTGAGCTTAGATATTGAGTCTCAAGACTCCAGACAATTTCATAATATTAAGTTGAGCAATTTCTCTGCAGTTGTTTTACTTTGTAACTAAGTACTAGGGAAAATTGTACTTTAGTAAGGCTGATGTAATCTTTGGCCCCATTATGTGGAGCACTAAGCAATATTATTTCCCAAAGATTGGACTATGTCAGTCAGGTGAAGGGTTATTTTTTGGAGGAAAGATAAAAATCAAGTTAATCACTGTGGATAGGATCTGATTAGAATAGGGCCTATGTCAATTTTCTGTCCTCATGTCCTCATGAAATAAAATGGGGGAATATCATAGCCTTAAGAACCTCACTGAAATCCAAATTCAATAAAGACAAGCCTCTTTTGAAAGATTTTTTACCAGAGGGCACATTCACTTGCTACAATAAGAGAGAGAGAAAGAAAGAGAGAGAAAGAGAAAGGGAAAGTAAGAAAGAACCCACCTGTGGGACACGATCATGCTGCAATCCCTTCACCATTTTTCCCTCCTGTTAGGATTTTGGGCATGCATACACATGTGTCTGGGGTGTTTTTAATCAACCAGGTCTGGTATTCAAACCATGTGAGGTGCAACCATCTTAGCCACAGGCCATGAGTTGACCTGTGATATGTTTTGCATTGAAAATAAAATGAAACTGATACAGATGAGTTTCATAGTTTCATTCTGGTATGAAACATTTACCTATGGATTCCTCCATTTGAAATTCATAAGGTTAGATTGTGTTTTGAAAGCTATATGAAACATCAACCATTGCATGGGAACATCAATTAGAAGCATACGTATGATTATGACCTGTGCCAGTGCCATGGCCTAGATTTCCTTAAATACTTATTATCTTTTAGCAACCACTTGTTTGAAGAGCAACAGTCTGGAAATATTCCCTGTTGCTCCAGCAGGATAGTTCTGAGCTGTATTTTTCATATCTGTCTATTTTTTGTTTTGCTTCGGTGCTAGGTATCTATAGGCAAGGACACAATAGGTTTCAGCTTTCTCTGTTGTGCTAACTTTCATATGCTTCAACCAGAGTAGAAAGAAGAAATTATCTGGGGTCAGAAAAACTTTAACCTGACCCAATCTTATTAAAAATGGAGCTAAGCAAAGTAATTTGTGTATATTCTGCCTTCAAGGCCTTATCTTCCTGAGCTCTGGCCTGTCTTCAGTAGGGAGCAAAAGCTAGTCAATCTTTCTAGCATAATGTATGTATGCCAGAAATTAGAGCTTTCTTTTCTTTTCTTTCTTTAAAATTTAAAGATAATTTGTGTATACTCTGCCTTCAAGACCTTGTCTTCCTGAGTTTTGGCCTGTTTTCAGTAGGGAGCAAAAGTTAGTCAATCTTTCTAGGATCATGCATGTATGCCAGAAATTAGAGCTTTATTTTATTTTCTTTCTCTAAAATTTAAATTCGCCAAAGAGTGCATGTGCTTATGAGAGAGAGAGAGAGAGAACACCTTCCATGGGAAATGTTCATGCCACAATCCCTTCTCCATTTCTCTTTTTGAGATTTTGGGCACACGTACACATGTGCACAATGTATGCATCTTCGGCCTTAAGGTCCAGGATGACTCGAACTGCATAGCTGGCTATATGGGTGCCTTAACCACCATGCCACAGGCTGGCCACCCCTAGAGCTTTATTCTTCAATGTATCATCTGAAATTCTAGAATTCTGTGAAGTGAAGTGATATAGGTATTTATCCTCATAGGGCCAGAAGTCTAATTCCACTTCCTCCAAGAGCCTCAAAGATTCTAGACATAGTATATTTCAATACCATTAGAAATAAAATAAAAACTTAAAAAAGAAAAAAAAAAGTGAGAATTGGCTTTATATGTGTAGGTCACAGTTAAAAATTCATTGAGAGTCAGATTTCATTTTGGTCAACCTCTGGGTGACCTGTCTTCTGTCATTTGCCAATGAAAATGCATCTATTCAATGCTCTGAGCCCCCTAAGTAATTAATTATTGGAATAATTGGCTGCAAAGGTCTTCACAAGAAAACAGTCTAGTGCTGCTTGCAATAGAAAATGTAATTAACTACTTTGGGCTGTTTTTTACCTCCTTCATCTCATTTGAAGCTCAAATGATGACCTTTGCCTATATTCCATCCACAATATTTTAGCTATTTAGGAATATATAGTGGTTAGAGACACCATTTCTTCTAGTCAAAAGAAAGACCCCAATCATAAAAGATATCTCCTTTCCCTCTTTTTTAAAACATAAGGTTTATTTATTTATTTTTCTTCCATTAGTGAGTGACCAAGAGAGAGTGTGAGACAGAAAGATATTACTCCTTATGGGGTCCTAATCCTAATGTAGTGATCTACCCTCTCCCTCCACACAACAAACACACACACACACACACACACACACACACACACACAGGTTCACCCAGGCCCAGATCATGGGCACACTTGTGCCTGGGATATTATGGGAGGTCTATGGACATTAACATGGAACCTTCCCATATGGGTCAGCCTGCCACTGTTCTGCCATCTGGTACTACTTTGTTTTATGAATATCATTGATTCTCCTTCAGAATCAGCTCAAGAGTCAAATGCTCTTCAATTTTTTTTAAAAAAATTAATAGCTCTTTAGGAGATACTCCTTTTGTGGTGTCTCCTCGATTGTCTTGTTATGAATACATTGTATAGTTACAGTTGAAACTCGAAAGAGGCTTGCTGAGGGCCAAGGTATATATGGCATTAGGAGAAGGATATGTTGCTAATATAAAATTCAGGATACCAAAGAAAATGGTATATAACTTTCCTGTCCTGTTATGTTAGGGAAAGGAAAAGGAAACAAGCTCTATAATGTTTCTCAGTGGTTAGGTAGGGCTGAATATTGGCAAATTCATAAAGTTGCTCACAAGCTCTATTGAATCTTCCTTGCCTCAGCTGTGAGGCTCAGAAGTAATGTTTATACAGGGAAGAGAAACTGTACAACCAAGTTATATAGTGAACCAGTGTCTGAGTCAGAAATAGCATTTCTTGCTTCCAATGCTGTGTTAAGTCCCAGCACCACACCCTAACTACTAGACAGCAAAGGTGGCATGTGTTGGGGCAAGGTAGAGCCATGAATAGGGCCATAGTGGCAGTTTTCTCATGCCCTCTCTTCAGGATTGAGACTGTAATGCTTTCTTCTTTGTGGTCCTTCCTCTCTCACATGATTTGACTATTCAAAGCAGCAGAGCAGAAATGCCAGGCATGTTCAGACTGCCTCCTGAAGATATAGTGTATAAGTTCTGGGGGACATAAAACTGAAATGAAGTGATGCCTATGTTAATAAGCTTGATTTAATCACTACATATTTTATGTGTGTGTGTGTGTACACATATCTCAAGACATCACATTGTACTCCATAAATATCACTATTTAGTAATTAAAATAGTATAAATATCACACTGTACCATGAATATGTATAATTAATTGCCAACTAAACTAAAAGAAACAAAATAAAAAATAAAATGAAATTATAGAAATCAAAAAGACAATTAGATGGAAAATTAAAGAGACAAAACTCACCTATTTGAAACACATCATCTTGGAATTGCAAAATAATACATAGCCAGTGAGTTGGAAGCATGTTGTGTGAGGGAATCTCAGTGGAACTGAGATTATAGGAAGTCTGGGCAGAGATGAAAAGCTTCTATTTGAACATTTTCCAAATAAACTTACTGGCGGTACTTATAGTAGAAAGCAGGTGCAAGCAGACCATAGTGGAAAAAGCCTAGCTTTAATGTTAGGGGTTTTGAAGTTTCATAGTTTCTTTAGATTGTATGACTATGTTAGAGAGACAATTTTTGTCTGTCCTAATTTCTTTAGGTGTGTGTGCATGTGTTTGTTTGTTTGCTATAGGGTGTGTGTACTCACCAGAGACAGAGAGATAAGGAAAGTGAGAAATCACCTCCTGGGGGGGATGGCCATGCCTGTATCTTCTCCTTCATTGTCTTCTCAGGATTTGGGGTGCACATCACACATACCTGGGATGAAAATATAGTTGTTGGATTGCCCATATGGGATCCAGCACCTTAATTACCATGCCACCTGCTGGCCCCAAAGTATCGATTATTTTATTTATTTGTTTATTTATTTGCTTATTTTGTAGAGACATTTTTGCTGTAGGGTGCATGTCCTTGCCAGAGAGAGAGAGAGAACAGAGAAATAAAAAGTGAAAAATCACCCCACAGACGAGATGGCCACAATACAATCTCTTCTTCATTCTCCTCTTGGGATTTTGGTCATGCACACCTATGCCAGGTCCAGGACTTGAATTGCAATTAAGTGGGAGTCCAGTGATGTAACCATTATGCAATCTGCTGGTCCATGTCTTGATTTCTTTTAATAATAAAATTTTTTCTGAACATGAATGATGGTCTTAGGGTTAAAAAAAGTACTGGAATAACAGACAGCAAGTGGGGTATTAAAAATAGTACACTATATAAAATGGCTTAAGCAATTGAGAAGTTTGGCATTGACACTTTCCCTCTGCTACTCAATTGTTCTAACATATAAGCAGCAAAACTTGATTCTACAGTTCCCAAAGTGAGATATGAACACTATTGACTGAAATTTCCCAGGTTTCTCGTTTCTGCTGATTGACTTCAGTGACTGTGAGCAAAGTGAATGGATACTGTTCTTTTATTTGAGAAACCTGAACTAAGTAAAATGAAGCAAGACAGAGTGCGTGGAATTGGAAAAACTGTGAACTGGAAATTCTTCTCAAGTCTCTGAATGCAGATTAGATGGCAGCACTAACCCTTCCACAGCAATTATCCCAATTTCCTGACCTCATTTCCTACTCTCAACATTCCAGTTTTACTTTCTCTGCCACTTTCTTTCCCATATCCTCCCCTATTCTCCCATCTATTATTATTTCTTCCTCATCTGTCTTATTATTATTAATGGCACATAATAATTGAACATATTTTTGAGGTGTAGTGCGATATTTTTGCTGCATGCATACAATGCGTAATGGTCAAATTAGGGTGAATAGCATATCCATCATCTCAAATATTTGGCATTATTTTCTGCTGGAAGCATTCAAAGTCCTCTCATTTAGGTAATCTGGGATATACAATAAATTACTGTTAACTCTCATTACCCTAGTCTACTATATATCCATTAACCAACATGTATTATCCTCCCTTCCTTCTCTCCTCTCAATCTCTAGTAATCACTATTCTAATCTCTATTTATACTACATCTTTTTTAGCTTTCCTATATGAGTGAGAATATGTAGTATTTCACTTTCTGTACCTGGATTATTTCACTTACCGTAATGTCCTCCAAGCTCACCCATGTTGCCTCCAATGACAAGACTTCACATTTCTTTTTTTTTTTGAAGAGGTTTTTGCTATAGGGTGCGTGCACTCACCAGAAAGACAGAGAGAGACAGAGAGAGAGAAAGCAAGAAATCACCCCCCCCAAGGGGGTTGGCCATTCCACAATCCCTTCTCCTCCATTCTCCTCTCTGGATCTTGGGCATGCATGCACATGTGCCTGGTGTGAGTTTAAGTGACCAGGGCCAGGACTTGAACTGCAGTTGGCTACATGGGAGTTCAGCCATTACGCTAACTACTGGTCCCAGGATTTTACATTTCTAATGGCTAAATAGTATCTCATCATGTATATATACCACATTGACTTTAGCCATTCATCTCTTGATGGGCACCTAGGTTGATTCCATACCTTGGCTATTGAAAATAGTGCTGCAGTAACCATTGGAGTACAGTCATATCTACAATATACTGATTTGCTTTCCTTTAGATATATGCCTAAAAGTAGGATTGCTGGATCATACAGCAGTTCTATTTTTAATTTTTTGAGGAACTTCCAAACTGTTTTCCATAATGTGTATACTAATACAATGGAAGAGTTTCCCTTTTTCTGTATCCTCTCCAGGATTTTAAATATTTAAAATTTTTTTAGATGATAGCCATTCTACCTAAAGTGAAATGATATCTCACAGTGGTTTTGATTTGCATTTAATTATCTCTGCCTTTTTTCACTTTCCTGGACCCTACTTGATCAAGGTTCCTACTATACTCTGGTTTTGTATGTCAAAGTTGCTTCTTACAAAAGTTGAGCTTTGCCTATGAGATGAAAATGTCAAAAAGGAGTATAATCTTAGCACAGTGTTAGGCTTACAGGAGGCACTTCATAAAGATTTACTGAATTAGAATTCAGGGATTGCAGGTTTCCAGTCTGATCTGGAAACGTTAGTTATTAAAAATGACAGTCCTTTACTTTGTACCCCACATTCCCCAAGGTTATTTTTCCCTCTAGGCATTGCAGTGAGAGAAGTCCCCCTCACCTCAAATTAAACATCTTTTTTCTGGAGCCACAGACTGGTTGAAGTGGCTTCCGTTTCTTTATCTCTGGCAGCTTCTCCCCTCCACACCCTTCCGTGTTATATACATTCAGTGGTCCTTGGACCTGTTTCCTGGTATTTTAAAGAAAAGAGTGACATAAGGAGGAATTACTTCAGAAAAAAAAATGTCTTTCACATTTGAAAATATAATCATGTGAAAGCCCATTACTGAATATGTCAGGATACAAGACTACTTTTATTCCATACCCTCCTTATTCAAAATAACTTATTCAGCAGCTACTTCTCTATGGTATATTATAGAGCATAGTTACAATAGTCCCTATCCAATGACAGCTGTTGAACTAGAAGAAAGATTTCCTCATGTACCATGACCCAATGTTGGCCCAGAAGTCCAACAAAAATTTAAGTAAATGACTGCCACTTGTACAAATGGTTATATCAAAGGGTATGTAAATGGCTAGATCAGAAGTACAGTGAGTATACAAATGACTATTCTTGTTAAATCTACCTTTCAAATCTCATTTGTATTCTACAGGAAAAGATTTTTTTTTTTTTTTGGAGAGGTTTCTGCTATAGGGCACGTGCACTCGCCAGACAGACAGAGAGAGACAGAGAAACAGAAAGTGAGAAATCACCCCTCCAGGGGAGATGGCCACGCCACGATCTCTTCTCCTCCATTCTCCTCTCGGGATCTTGGGCATGCACACACATGCGCCTGATGTGAGTTTAAGCCACCGGGTCCGGGCCGCAAACCGCAGTCTACTACATGGGAGTCCAGCGACATAGCCATTATGCTAACTGCTGGTACCAAGACTTTATTTTTAAGAGACATTTTAGGAGCTAGATACATGGAAATGTCTTATGTAATGAACAGTGGGAGAGGAGAAGGAAGATAAGATAAGCTTAGAAGGGGATCTTGATCTATAGGATGGAAATGCTAAGATTATTTGAATTATCTTTCCAAAAAGGCACTGTAACAAAGTGAAAAAAACTCTTTCAGCCAGAGATTCTAATTATCTGAAGAATCCCTATCTCTAAACTCTTATTTTATTGGAAAAAAAATGAAGCAACAATTTACTTCAGAAATTTAGTTTAAAAAATGTTAGGGCAGGGACCAGCAGTTAGCGTAATGGCTATGTCACTGGACTCCCATGTAGTTGACCGTGGTTGGCATCCCAGACCCGGTGGCTTAAAACTCACACCGGGTGCGTGTGCGTGCGTGCCCAAGATTCCGAGAGGAGACCGGAGGAGAAAGAATTGTGGCGTGGCCATCCCCCTTGGGGGGGTGATTTCTTGCTTTCTGTCTCTCTGTCTCTGTCTGTCTGTCTGGTGAGTGCACGCGCCCTATAGCATAAAACCTCTCAAGAAAAAAAATGTTAGGGCATATCTTGGAGGTCCCATAATCACCTGTAGTTTGCACAGTGGAATTAACTCTCAGACAAGGAAGTTAACCAATATTAGAAGTTAGAAAATGCAATTTAGGTTAGTTTAAAAATCCTTGGTTCATGGACTGGCTCCGTGGCTCAATTCCGTGGCCCAGTGATTAAGTCTGGTGGATGCCACATGGCCTACTGTGCGGTTTGAGTCCTCGACCTTGAAGCTTTGGAAATAAACTGGGTGTGTTGTGTGCACATGCCCAAAATCCTGAAAGGAAGAAGATGTGATAGAGAAGGGACTGTAGAAATTGTAGTGTGGTCATTCCCCATGGGAGCTGCTTTCTTTTCTCTCTCTCTCTCTTTTTCTCTCTCTTTCTCTTTGTCTCTGACAATCACACACTTGGCAAGCACACATGTTCTCTGGCCAAATTTAAAAAAGTTCTTGAGTTAGGAATAAAAAAATCTGAATTCTGATTCTGAGTATATCATTTACACTATCTTTCAATTCTGACATTCTTTAATTCTAAATTATATAAGCTTCAGTCTCTATTTCTGTAAAATGATGATAATTCTTATCATTTCTACTTTATGGTGTTCTAATGAGACTCAAATAAAAACAGCTTTCATTGTTGCATGTTTGTGTGCCCAAAATCCTGAAAGGAGGGACAGATGAAGAAGGGGGTGCCTTGTCCTCTCCCTCTCTCTCTTTATGTTCTCTGTCTCTTTCTGACAATCACATGTGTTCTCTAGCAAAAACAAAACAAAATAAAACATAAGAGAAAACATCTCACAACTCTAGAAAGGATTTCAAAGATTGAAAAGTATCATACTAATTCCAAAGTGTCAGCTTTATCTTTAGCTATCAGATATATATCTGTTTTGGTTTGTTCTTTTCTTGGATTCTCAGATAACCTACATTATTCGCATTCATTGCAATGCTATAGTATTTCACTTATTTATTGAGTATGGTCTCACTCACTCCTGCAACATATTCTTATAGTACTATTCAACATATGATAGGTGCTCACAAAGTACATGTCAAAGCAAATTGAATGTGAATGTTATCTTCTAACCTGAGTGGACAGAATACCTTTTACTCCACTGAAATCATGGATGGAAAGTGGATTTGATCATTCATTCCATCTTGTCTTCCATAGGACGAAAACATTTCCAACCAATCCCTAGTCTCAGAGTGGTGAACCCCTGCAACCAGCAGGTCTCTGAAAAAATAAAAAATCCATGGGTGACAGAAGATTCATTTACTTCCAATTCCAAGATTTAAATTCAAGCCTCAGACCCAGGTTGGGCAATGCTACTGCCAATAATACTTGCATTGTTGATGATTCCTTCAAGTATAATCTGAATGGTGCTGTCTACAGTGTTGTATTCATCCTGGGTCTGATAACTAACAGTGCTTCTCTGTTTGTCTTCTGCTTCCGTATGAAAATGAGAAGTGAGACTGCTATTTTTATCACCAATCTTGCCCTCTCTGATTTGCTCTTTGTCTGTACCCTACCTTTCAAAATATTTTACAACTTCAATCGCCACTGGCCTTTTGGTGACACCCTCTGCAAGATCTCTGGGACTGCATTCCTCACCAACATCTATGGGAGTATGCTTTTCCTCACCTGTATTAGTGTGGATCGTTTCCTGGCCATTGTCTATCCTTTTCGATCTCGTACCATTAGGACCCGGAAGAATTCTGCCATTGTGTGTGCTGGAGTCTGGATCCTAGTCCTCAGTGGTGGTATTTCAGCCTCTTTGTTTTCTACCACTAATGTCAACAATGCAGCTACCACCTGCTTTGAGGGCTTCTCCAAGCGTGTCTGGAAGACTTATCTATCCAAGATCACCATATTTATTGAAGTTGTTGGGTTCATCATTCCTTTAATATTGAATGTCTCTTGCTCTTCTGTGGTGCTGAGACCCCCCCGCCAGCCTGCTACACTGTCTCAAATTGGAACCAATAAGAAAAAAGTGCTGAAGATGATCACAGTGCATATGGCAGTCTTTGTGGTATGCTTCGTACCCTACAACTCTGTCCTCTTCCTGTATGCCCTGGTGCGCTCCCAAGCCATTACTAATTGCTCATTGGAAAGATTTGCAAAGATTATGTACCCAATCACCTTGTGCCTTGCAACTCTGAACTGTTGCTTTGACCCTTTCATCTATTACTTCACCCTTGAGTCCTTTCAGAAGTCCTTCTACATCAATACCCATATCAGGATGGAGTCTCTCTTTAAGACCGAAACACCTCTCACTGCAAAGCCTTCCCTTCCAGCTATTCAAGAGGAGATTAGTGATCAAACAACAAATAATGGTGGTGAATTAATGTTAGAATCCACCTTCTAGGTACGAGAACTGTTTTCAGGTTCAAATATGGTTTCTCCTATGATTTTTCCTATGCTATAAATAAAAGATTTGAACCTAATGATACTGAGAATAGATTAATGTACTGAATACATTCAGATACATTTGTTTGAACATTTATTGTACATACGCTGTTTTGTTCAGTAATTATAGGTCAAGTCTAATTACAACAACTAAAATAGACCACCAAACTCTTTCTGGTAAGTTAGAATTTTATTGTGTAACATTATGTAAGTGGCCAGTGGCCTTGACTTTAGTGATATGAAATTACTTTAAAACTTTTAAAAAGATATTTGATTTCCAATTATATTTGGTAATTGGGTTAGGCCTATAAATATAGAACAAATTCAGGGAATATTTTTTAAAAATTTTGTGTTACTACTGATATATATTAGTCTTTTTCTTTTTTAAATCATCATTGAGTTTATTTTGGCACAAAAACATACTTTAGCCTAACGTTATTAATAAGAAGTGTGTCAAATTTAAAAGAGTGGGCAAAATTTGTCATATGAATTTTGAAAATAGAAAAGAAATTGTGTTTGGAAGAATATGAGTGGGAAGAAACAAAAATTAACAGGATTTACACATTTATAATTACTAGTAGTGTCAGTTTTTAAAACTAGGTTTTTACTTTACATCTAGATTTTCATATGAAATTTGAAATCCAGAAAGTTGCTAAATATATGCTCAACAGGTCCAAAATGGAAAATCATATAAGACAAGAAAATATCCATTAAAAAAAACCTAAGCAACATCAACCTTTTCTTTTTCCTTAAAAATCTCTAGTTATCTTTTTTGGGGGAGTATACTGTGTTCTATGAAATATATGTTCTCCTCATAAAATTTTGGAGCACAATGCAGGCAGAAATCTGCACAGGAATAAGGTGGAAAAAAACAATAAAATAATAAAAATAAACAAAAAATCTTTAAAACTTGTATTAATCATTTTTTGGGGCTTTAAAAATCTGTAACGTTTTGGTACTTTTTTTTCCAATTAAAATATGGAGCACAATGTAGCCAGAGCACTGCTGAATTTGTGCCCAAGTTGGTTGCAAGTTGGAAAGGGTATATATATATATATATATACATACACACACACACAAATTAAAATAAACAAAATAAAAACCCAACAAAACAAAAAATAAAAAAGAATAATTCTTAATACTTGCTGTACTATTTTGCATTTTTGGGGGGGCTCTAAATTTAAAAGTACTATGTCATTTGTTTAAAAATTTGGAGCATGAACTAGCTAGAAATCTGCTAAATTTGTGTTCAAGTCAGAAGCTAATTGGAATAAAAACATGTAATGAACAATAAGGCCCTACAAAACAAACAAGATAAGCACAAAAGAAATGTTGCACTTGCATTTTTTGAGCATCTGTAAAACTTACAAAATACTATAATTTTCTTATGATATTTTGGATCAAAATGTAGCTAAGAAACTGCCAAACTGGCAGCAGTTCAGGAATAATTAAAAATGTTATTTTGAAATCTACAAAAGAAGAGAAAACAATTTTTTATAACTCACTTAAAAAAATAAACAAAATTTCCATTTTTTAGAGAAGCATAAACTTAAGAATATTAAGCCTTGAGAATAAGATCTCTGAACACAAAATTTCTGAAAGATTCTCATTTGGAATAGGCCAAAAGCAATGGAAATAAAAACCATTGCATACACACATACACAGAAATATTGACAAAAATAAAATTAAAAAACATTCTAAAATTGCAAACAGCATAAATATTCTTCAAATACGCATTTATAAATTTAAAAGTATTTGGGTGATATGGCTATTTAAAAATGCTAGGAATTTTTAAGTAAAACTTCCAGAAACAATGCATTTTATAAGTTCCTGAACTTGTGCCAAGGAGTGGTTAAAAAAATTAAAAGCTAAAACAATAGCAAAAACGTAAATATTCTAAAAAAATAACGACATCATTAGATCTCATTAACCTTTGTTTTTCTTTCTGATGATATGTAGGTTTTAAAAAGCTAAGATTTTTATGTAAAAATTGGGGAACCTAATGTAACTTTAAAACTGTTTAATCTGTGACTGGGTAGGGAACTCTTTGGAAAAATAAAAGAACAATAGAACAATAGTGAAAATGAACTCTCAAAATTGGCATTACTTTTTCCTCATGACCTAAAGTCCTAAAAATAATCATGCATTATATTGTCTTGTGAAAAAAAAGTTATAAATGGAATACATAAGGCATTAGATTCAGCTAGATGAGTTAGAGTTAAGTTAGGTTAAGTTTAGATCTTACGTTATATTATAAGATCAAATTAATAATCAACGAGAGTAATGTTCTGTTTTCCTCAGTATTCTTTGTTTTCCATTTCTCATAAGTATAAACTATATGTGAATTGTTTTTGCCCTTGGCTCTTAAACTTATGAAATTTTAGGATTATGACACCAAACCATTTAGTGGGATACGTTAACCAAGTTGACATAAAAATATATCATTCAGTCAGTTTCCTTTTGTGTACTTTCTATGTTTAATTTTGTTTAATTTTCCATATTTCACTTTATTTTAGTTACTTTCCATTTTTATAGCTAATATAACTTGCTAATAATAAAATCTTGTCATGAGTAATGTAATCAATAAAATTTAATGTGTAACTAAATGTAAAATTGAATTTATATTTAAAAGTAAAAGCAATTCTCCAGCTATAATTACAACTTGGATTATAAATGCTTATTAAATGTAATAAAATATATTTGGATTATTTAGCAATAATACATTGGTCAATTATTCACTCAACTTTCTTTATTTGTGGGCATCCGAAAATATCTCTCTTTTATCTTCCATCCTTAGCCATGGTATATTTGCTCTCAAACCAATTATCATACTTCATTTTGAGGCTCTCTGAAGACTAATGCAAAACTGAGAAATAGCAAAACTTTGGGTGACTTTTTAGGGATTTAAATAAAAGACTCCTTTTTCTGATTTTTCCACTTGGTTTTTGATTTATTTGAGGTTTCTAGTCAAGCTGAATTTTGGATCCTGATTTCTAGGATTGGTGAAATATCTTCGGACAACAACTGAAGGTCCTGTGGAAAGTTGGGGCAAGAGACCATGTGATGACAGTAAGATGAGAATAGAATTAGGTGGTTGACAGATCAATAACTAGTACAGGTGGTGGTCCCATGGTGGCAACACAGGGAATTCTTGGTCATCATGCTCAGGACTCTAACTCTCAGATAAAGCAGTGTCAGTATTTCAAGTATACCACGTTTTATATTGGAGCCCCATGGGATGACAGCAAATGTTGCCTTTTCTGAAATGGTGAACAGCATATTTAGTCCTAGAATGTATTAAAATTAGAGGAACTTTGCTCTTAATGACCTTCTAGGACAGGTCCTCTGAAACAACGGGGACAGATTTATTTGTTTCAACATCCTTATCTGCCCCTTTCTGCCATCTATCTCCACCCCTAGCCCCCGCACCTTATGTTTGGTGTGGTATTTTAGTCAGTTTCTGTTGCTAACAATTAAAGACCACACTGGATAATTTATAAAGCAGAGTTCTGGGACCAGCATTTAGTGTAATGGCTATGTCACTGGGACTCCCATGTAGTCGACCACGGTTTGCGTCCCAGACCCGGTGACTTAAAACTCATGCAGGGCATGTGTGCGTGCATGCCCAAGATCTCAAGAGGGGAATGGAGGAAAAGGGATTGTGGCGTGGCCAACTCCTTGGGGGGTGATCTCTCGCTTTCTCTCTCTCTGTCTCTCTGTTTGTCTGGTGAGCACACATGCCCTATAGCAAAAACCTCTCCCACATTGCCAATCATGGTTAGAATCCCAGACCTGGTGGATGGTTTTCTCACTTTCTCTCTCTCTCTCTTTCTCTCTCTCATCAAATTAAGGAGTAATAACAATAAATAAAATAATTATTTAAAAAATAGAAGTTTATTTTATCTCACACTTTTAGAGGCCCAAGGTCAAGAGTTTGCATCTGGTCAGGGTATTCCGGCTGCTGGATAACGTGGTGGAGGGAATCACATGGTAAGATAGACCAAAGTGTGTCCTGTCCGTCTCTGTGCTCTGACCTCATCCCCTCTCCTTATAAATCCACCAGTTTTCAACCATATTGCCCCACCCTGATGACTAAATTTCTACTTCTTAATCCTATGGTTAAATTAAGTTCCCACCCGCTTAATATTATCACAATCAAATTTCAACACATGAATTTTGGGAGGACACATTAAAACAATAGCACGTGGTTTCTCAAACTTGATGTTCTCTATCTCTTTTTCCTATGGCTTTTATGCTCTCCCACATTTCTCCCCACCCCCATTCCTACTCTGAGATATGGCTTCTTCATGGAAGAAGATCTTACTGCTTGAAATCCTTCCCTCAGTGCTTTAATCTTAGAAAGGAGTCTGGTTAATTTAAATGACTGTCTGAAGCAGGGGCAGGATGAAGAGATATGACTCTCCCAGTAAATGAGAAAACATCTCTTGAGCTAGAGTTTCCCTTGCCTCATGGTAGGGCCTCTGCTGCTTTTCTACACTGCTGTCTTGACATCACCTTGTATACCAGTGAGTCTAAAACATGCACCACCTTTCTCTAGACAGCCCTCTTTTCCAAAACTGCCCACAATGACTGAGAACCTGTGTTCTCACTTAATACAAGCTTAGATTTTTTTTCCTCTCCAATATCTAATGATACTGATGACTTGGTGAAATGATCATCAAATATAAACCAATTTGTTTCTTTTTACATGTGTGCTAGAGGGTGCATGTGCTCTTGGAGAGAGACTGAAAGAGAAGGACAGCGAGAAAGTTTCCCCATAGGAAATGGGGAATGGCTGTACTGCAATACCACCTCCTCCATTTCTTTCTCAATGTGAGATTTGGGGCACACATACATACTCACCCTGTGTGTCTCTCAAGCTGCTAGATCCGACACTCAAATCACATAGTTGGTCATATGGGATCCAGTCATTTTAACCACCTTGCCATGGACTGTTCCACTAGCAATACTTAATAAAGGTGTAATGGTGATATGGATGAGGGTGTTTACTAAATGCCAGATACTGTATGGAACTAGTTTTTCTTTCCTTCTTTTTTACTTTCTTCTTCCTTCTTTCTTTCTCTCTCATTCTTTCTCTTTCTTTCTTCTCTTTCTTTATTTTTTTGTCATTGGACACATGCACTTACTGGAGAAAGAGAGGGAAAGTGAAAAATCACTGCCTATTTGGATGACCACACCACAATCCTGTCTCTATTCTTCTCCTGGGGTTTTGGGCACCCATGCACACTCACTGAGTGTAATATTTTCTATTTTTAATTAATTCACTGAGCAATATCACAGCATATAAAATGTGACTTCCCATCTGGAATATACTACATAATGGCTTAATCATACATATTATCATCAATAATTTTCCATTTCTAGTTTCATATATATAGATATAGATATATAGATATATATGTATATGTATATTTATATTTATATATTTCCCTCTATTTCTCATCCTCTGCCATTTCCCACCCTCCCCCCACACTTTCTTGGGGGTCCACAGTTGTTTTCTATTCCTTTTTCCCCCTGCAGTTTATTGATTCACAGAATTTCTTAAATAATCTAATCACTTTCAATAGCTAGTTCAGCCAATTTATATATAGGTAGCACCTAGCTGATGCTATATAGCTTACTACAGTCATTAGGTATTTTTAATTTCAAGAAAATCAGTTTTAGCTTTAATAAATCAAAGAAATGCTAAAGAACTATGCTTAAAACTTAAAGGCAGGAAACAGGTTAGGATTCTGTTCAAATAGTAGGTACATAAACCTATTGGCATCTCAAGACAGAACAAAAATCCTTAAAACTGGAAAACAAAGCCTAGAAGAAAATAAGCAGTTTT